TTTTTTCATTCTACTGGTGATGGACATTTAGCTAGCTGCCAGCGTAGGGTGATTGCAAATAGTGTCGCTGTGAATGTCTTTGTACGTGGCTTTTGATAAGGATATGTATTTCTTATGGGTATATTGCCGGGTCATGGAGTGGGCACATGTTCAGTTTTAGTAGATACTAACCCAAAAGTTTCCCCATATGGTTTTACTAATTTATTCCTACCAGCAATGTTTAAGGGTTCTCATTGCTTCACATCCTCACCAGAACTTGTTTTTATCTGTCTTTTTCATTTCATTTTTTTTTTTAAGATTTTTTATTTATTTATCTGATAGAGACAGTGAGAGAGGGAACACAAGCAGGGGGAGTGGGAGAGGGAGAAGCAGGCTTCCCGCGGAGCAGGGAGCCCAATGCGGGCCTCGATCCCAGGACCCTGGGACCATGACCTGAGCCGAAGGCGGACGCTTAACGACTGAACCACTCAGGTGCCCCTGTCTTTTTCATTTTAGGAATTCTGGTGGCTTTTATGATACTGTGTAGCATTTTGGAAGTAGAACTGTTCCCTCAGCCCCTAAAACCTGAAACTCTAAACTTTTTACATTCATTTTCAGGAATGCATCCTGCACAAAAGCAGGAGATTATACCAGATGTAAAGCTCCTGTTAACAGTGCTTGGCATGTGGAAGGAAGGCGACACATAATAGCTGCCATCATCATCATCATCATCACTAAATGCCTTGTCTGTTCTTTAGAGGGGAGAGGGTAGGTCACAGTGGATCAAAGGTGAATAATAAGGCATAGTCTCTGCCCATAAGGAGCTCAAGATCTACATGAAGAGACAAATACTAGAAACAGATATTATTAGACCAGAAAATAGGAGTTTGGGAAAAGAGGTAATACTTGAGCTGGTGCTTGATGAATAAGTAGGAGTTGAACAGAAAGGAAAAAGGGAAGTGGGCTGGAGGAAATGGCAGGGGCACAGAACCCTTGGTGGGCAGTGGCAGAGTAGACAGCATGGTGGAGGAGAAGAGCCCACCCTTGCATGCTGGTCCCTGTTGTTCAGATGTTGTCACCCTTGCTGGGATGTGGGGGCTGAGCTAGCGATCATTCAGGGTCATTGTGAAGTTACAGTACCCTAATGCTCTGTTCTCTGCAACCCCTTTTAGCTCTTTCTCCCTCCTCTGGGAAAGTGATCAACCTCCACTTCTCTCTCTTGGAATCAAAGCCTGTCCCGAGTCCAAGGTGCTTTAAAACCATAGATGAAGCTTTAACAGCTACAAAGTACTGGTTACAAGGATCCCACAGTTTCTTTGCTCTGTGATCCTTTAGCTATTTATTTTTATGTGGAGGCCTGGCTTAGAGTTTTTATTCTCGTAAGGGCCTAAGTTGCACTGTGGTGGCAATTAAGTTTAATAAAATGCTCTTCTGCCCAATGCCATATATAGTTGATAGTTGTTCTTGAGGAATTTTGAGGAGGTGCAGCATGCTGAAGATGACGATCAAGAGCCATACAGTCTTTCCTTGATTAAGCACCTGCTATGCATCAGGCAATTGGCTATATGGGAATGAGGAGGATGGACATGGTTCCTGGCTCCTGGCCCCACTGAATTTAAAATCAAGTATGGGATCAGACAAATAATCAATTGGTTCCACCACAGTGTGACAAGGGCTCTCAGGGGTAGAGGTACAGAGTCCTGTGAGAGCACATTGGAGAAGAACCCCACCCAGACTAGGGGTCAGGGAGGGCTTCCTGGGAAAGATGATAGCCTAATGAAGGTGATTGAGAAGGAAGTAGAGGAAACAATGCATAGGAGGACCAGAATACAGGGGGGAATGAATGGCTGCTTGGAGAAGCTAGAAGACATTATCAACCTAGGGCATAGAGAATCTTGGGAGAAGAGAAGTTTTAACCAGAGGACCCACAGCAGGTGGGAGATGGATTGAAGGAGGTCAAGAATGGAGGCAGACAGACAGCAGAAGACAAACATCATATGATTTCATTTATATGGGGAAACCATAAAAGACAAAGCAAACAAACAAAAACAGAAACTGACTCACAAATGCAGAGAACAAACCAGTGGTTGCCAGAGGAAGGTGGCAGCGCAGGGATGAATGAAACAGGCGAAGGGGATTGGGGAGTACAGACATCCAGTTATAAAATAAAGAAGGATGAAACGTACAACATAGGAAATACAGTCAATAATATTGTAATCCCTTTGGTGACAGATGGTGAACACAGTTAACCACGGTGAACATTTCGTAATGTACGTAATTGTTGAATTGCTGTCTTACACACCCAAAGCTAATAGAGTATTTCACGTCAACTATACTGTAATAACCATAATTAAATAAATAAAAAGTAGATAAGTAAATAAAAAGAAAGACGAAGCAGAGAAACCAGTTCTAATAGGACTTAACAGAGAAGTAACTAATATTCTCAGCAGGATGACTTTCAAAATTCCTTTCTCCTCTCAGTTCTGCAACCCAAACATCCTGACTTCTTGAGAGCCCAATGCAACTATTTGAAGAGTAAAGAAAAATCTTATTAGAAAGAGGTATTATGTGCAAAAGAAAAAAAAAAGAACAAGAAAACCTGTTTTTTTTTTATTATTTATACGGATGGCCCTTTAAAACCATGGTCCGCGGGTATGACCGTATGAAGTTCTTTGCCAGGAAGAAACCTGTGAGGTGTGTTCTGCAGTCTCTATACACTGAAGTAAGAGTCCCTTTGTAACCTGTGGCTCGGGGCTGCAGTTTGTGCATTCTACATAGGGACCAAAGAGCTCACATGACATGTGGTTGAACTGTTTCTCATGTAGCTTGGCCCACCGCGCATTCCAGTAGCCTGGCTTCCTGCTTAAATTCCCAACCACTCACAAAACCAAACACACACGCACAAGATATAAGAGCTCAGAATAAAGGGATTCTGGTGGGGATGTTGTTTCCCACTTCCTTGGTCATTTTTAAATAAACACTGGGTGCCAGGCATTTCATACTTCAGCCCTGAAGTCTAGAAATGTGATTTCTAGCAATTTTCACAAAGTATAAGTACAACGGAATAGTTTAGATGTATTTGGAGTTCTTGGGCTTACGTTTACCTAGTTACATAAAAGACATTTCAGTTAAAAAAAAAAAAAACAAACTACAGATATGAGAATTGCTATTATAATTGAATAGATATTCATTGTATTTTATTAGGAAATATTATGTTCCTGCCTTGTACAGTACTAGGTGTATGTAGAGAGTTTCAGAAGAAATAAGACATGGTCCCGATCTTCAGAGACTTACTCTAAAACAGAGCAAGCAGAGTCAAAGTACTGACACCATCGCTCTCTGTTTTGTCATCCAAGGGAGACACTAGTAACCAGTCATGTAACACTTTCCTGCTGAAACCAGAGTCAGCCTCAGAATCCTTCTCAACACAGCAGTCCAGGCAACTTTTGCATAATTAGATAAACATCTATCTTCTTTATTTTAAGAAATAATGTATTCTGGGGCTCCTGGGTGGCTCAGTCATTAAGCATCTGCCTTCGGCTCAGGTCATGATCCCAGGGTCCTGGGATCGAGCCCTGCATCCGGCTCCCTGCTCCACGGGAGGCCTGCTTCTCCCTCTCCCACTCCCCTTGCTTGTGTTCCCTCTCTCGCTTTGTCTCTCTCTGTCAAATAAATGAATAAAATCCTAAAAAAGAAAAAAAGAAATAATGTATTCCAAGAACTTTAGGTATTTGCCTGGCCTTTCATCTTTCTGGTGTTTTTACTAGCTTTTCAAAGAAATAAGTCATTTTATATATGAATATTAGAACCTGGGAGCATCCCAAGAAAGTAGAATGGGATGGTGTTACTTTTCAAGAAGTTGAAACTTCCAAATTCAAGAAGATAAGCATTTATTTCACATATATGATTACAGAAGCCCATTCCCATCACTTGCCCTATAAACATTGTGTTTTTCTTGGTTTCTCCCAGGGTGATTGTCCAGGTACTTTTATTCTTGTAGGAACAGTTTCAGGACTGTAATGCTGCCAGCCATCAGTAACTGGTGGCCACATTTTCAGGTGTCCTGGTACTGGAGTTCCCTTCATTGCTGCTGGGGTCACCTGCTTTGGTAGAGATCCAAGGTCTTACAGGCCCTGACCTCTTTGATGTCTTGTCACTGATCATTTCCCTGTGATTCTGACCTTCTTCTCATGCCACATGCTTCCACAGGGGCTGTATCCAAGGCGATGCTATTTTTATATTGATAAATCCCAAGTATGTGTATACTAAGACTCTTCTTAAACTCTAGACCCTAATTTCAGCTGTCCATGGTACATTTCCACCAGAGTGATAAGAGCTAACGTAACGAGCGAACAAATACTTGTGGCCAGAGGGTGTGCTAAGAGCTTTATAATCAGGACTTAAGTTAAGCTTTCCAATACCCCTCAGAAGTAATCGTCCCCATCATACAGATGGGAAACACAAGGCTTAGAGAATCACACCATTAGTAAGTGGTAAGCCTGAGTCTGGTACACAAGGCTTATGTAGAGTTTAATAATACACACGGAGCCTTCCATTTTGGCTTGTACAAAATAGAAGTCATCTCACCTCTCTCCCTAAAACTCCAGTCTTAACCTTGAATCAGTCCAGTCCACAGCAAATACTGTCTTGTTCTCATATCCTTCTTCAAGGTCCAGGAAGTTACAAGTCTTTGCGTTCTGGCTCTCAAACTATTCCCCCCCTTTCTACTCCAACTCTTTGGCAGGCTGCCTTTATTTCTCACCTAGAAGGCATTCTTTATTCCCCACCCTTTTTTTTTTTTTTTCCTCTTCTCTTCTCTTGGGTTGGAGAGAAAAGCTCCTACGACAAACCACCTCTTTTCTCATAGGTGTTCCTTTTAGTTTATTTTCTACTACACCTATCTTGCATAAAAAGCTAGGACGTGGAGGAGAACACTTTAATTTGGCGCAAGTAGTTTTTTTTTCATTTAATGTTTTTGCTTGCATCTTTGTAATGATGTCTTTTGTTTTCTTGTTTTCCAGGAATGTTTACCCTTGCAGAAGTTGCTTCACTTAATGACATTCAACCAACTTACCGAATCCTGAAACCATGGTGGGACGTGTTTATGGATTACCTGGCTGTCGTTATGTTGATGGTAGCCATCTTTGCAGGAACCATGCAGCTTACCAAAGATCAGGTGGTCTGCTTGCCAGTATTGCCATCTCCTGTAAATTCAAAGGCACACACGCCCCCGGGAAATGGCGCCGTCACCACCAATATTCCCAAGATGGAAGCAGCCACTGACCAAGACCAAGACGGGCGGGCGGCAAGTGACATTTCCTTTGGCGCATCTGCTGTGACACCTGACATACCTCTCAGAGCCACATATCCTCACACCGATTCGACAGTTCCAAATCAGGAGACAAAGAAAGAGAAGAAAGATCCAACAGGCCGAAAGACAAACCTGGATTTTCAGCAATATGTATTTATTAATCAGATGTGTTACCATCTGGCCCTTCCGTGGTATTCTAAGTACTTTCCATACCTTGCTCTCATACATACTATTATTCTCATGGTCAGTAGCAACTTTTGGTTCAAATATCCCAAAACATGCTCAAAAGTAGAACATTTTGTTTCAATATTAGGAAAGTGCTTTGAATCTCCTTGGACTACTAAAGCGTTGTCTGAGACAGCGTGTGAAGACTCGGAGGAAAACAAGCAGAGAATAACAGGTGCCCAGACTCTACCAAAGCATGTGTCTACCAGCAGTGATGAAGGGAGCCCTAGTGCCAGTACCCCGATGATCAACAAAACAGGCTTCAAATTCTCAGCCGAGAAGCCTGTGATTGAAGTCCCCAGCATGACCATCCTGGATAAAAAAGATGGGGAACAGGCCAAAGCCCTGTTTGAGAAAGTAAGGAAGTTCCGTGCCCATGTGGAAGACAGTGACTTGATCTACAAGCTCTACGTGGTCCAAACATTTATCAAAACAGCCAAATTCATTTTCATCCTCTGCTATACTGCAAACTTCGTCAACGCCATCAGCTTTGAACACATCTGCAAGCCCAAAGTGGAGCACCTGACTGGTTATGAGGTATTCGAGTGCACCCACAACATGGCTTACATGCTGAAAAAGCTTCTCATCAGTTATATATCCATTATTTGTGTTTATGGTTTTATCTGCCTCTACACTCTCTTCTGGTTGTTCAGGATACCTTTGAAGGAATATTCTTTCGAAAAAGTCAGAGAAGAGAGCAGTTTCAGTGACATTCCAGATGTCAAAAATGATTTTGCGTTCCTCCTGCACATGGTAGACCAGTATGACCAGCTGTATTCAAAGCGCTTTGGTGTGTTCCTGTCAGAAGTCAGTGAAAATAAACTTAGGGAAATTAGTTTGAACCACGAGTGGACATTTGAAAAACTTCGGCAGCACGTGTCCCGCAACGCCCAGGACAAGCAAGAACTCCATCTGTTCATGCTGTCGGGTGTGCCCGACGCCGTCTTTGACCTCACAGACCTGGATGTGCTAAAACTTGAACTGATTCCGGAAGCTAAAATTCCCGCTAAGATTTCTCAGATGACTAACCTCCAAGAGCTTCACCTCTGCCACTGCCCTGCAAAAGTGGAACAGACTGCTTTTAGCTTCCTCCGCGATCACTTGAGATGCCTTCACGTGAAGTTCACCGACGTGGCTGAAATCCCTGCCTGGGTGTACCTGCTCAAAAACCTTCGAGAGTTGTACTTGATAGGCAATTTGAACTCTGAGAACAATAAGATGATTGGACTCGAATCTCTCCGAGAGTTGCGGCACCTTAAGATTCTCCACGTGAAGAGTAATTTGACCAAAGTTCCCTCCAACATTACAGATGTGGCTCCACATCTTACAAAGTTAGTCATTCATAATGACGGCACTAAACTCTTGGTACTGAACAGCCTTAAGAAAATGATGAATGTCGCCGAGCTCGAACTTCAAAACTGTGAGCTGGAGAGAATCCCCCATGCTATTTTCAGCCTCTCAAATCTGCAGGAACTGGACTTAAAATCAAATAACATCCGCACAATTGAGGAGATCATCAGTTTCCAGCATTTAAAACGACTGACGTGCTTAAAATTATGGCATAATAAAATCGCTACCATTCCTCCCTCCATCACCCATGTCAAAAACTTGGAGTCACTTTATTTCTCTAACAACAAGCTCGAATCCTTACCCGTGGCGGTGTTCAGTTTACAGAAACTCAGATGCTTAGATGTAAGCTACAACAACATTTCAGTGATTCCGATAGAAATAGGATTGCTTCAGAACCTACAGCATTTGCATATCACTGGGAACAAAGTGGACATTCTGCCAAAACAGTTGTTCAAATGCGTGAAGTTGAGGACTTTGAATCTGGGGCAAAACTGCATCACCTTCCTCCCCGAGAAGATTGGTCAGCTCTCCCAGCTCACTCAGCTGGAGCTGAAGGGGAACTGCTTGGACCGCCTGCCAGCCCAGCTGGGCCAGTGTCGCCTGCTCAAGAAAAGCGGGCTTGTCGTGGAAGATCACCTTTTTGACACCCTGCCACTCGAAGTCAAAGAAGCATTGAACCAAGACATAAATATTCCCTTTGCGAATGGGATTTAAACTGAGATGATCCGTGCACATCCGTGTGCAGGAACAACTTCCTAGATTGCAAACACTCACGTACAAGTTATTGCAAGATAATGCATTTTAGGAGTAGATACATCTTTAAAAATAAAACACAGAGAAGAGGATGCATAGAAGGCTGATAGAAGACGTAACTGAATGTTCCCTGTTTGTAGTGTTTTCAGTCCTTCGTTTCCAAATCTTTTTTTCTTTTTTTCTGTTGGGGAAAGGGAAGGAACAGTTATAATCACTAATCTTGGTTTCTTTTTAAATCGTTTGTAACTTGGATGCTGCCGCTACTGAATGTTTACAAATTGCTTGCCTGCTACAGTAAATGATTAAATTGACATTTTTCGTACTATACCACCTTTTTGGAGGTGTCTTGATTTACTTTGCCTCATCAGTGCAGTATTGCTTTAATTCAGACCACTTCAAGACACGTCAGGTCCCAGCTTGGAAATCTGGATTTGGGCCAGGGCTTCTACTTCTGAGAATCCCATTTTAGAGATTTTACACTCTTCAAGGCCTGGAACACAGTGAAGGTGTGTAGATTGTGGGGGGAGGCGAGGGGAAGTTGATTTTTTTTTTTAAGTAACAAGAAAAAAATTAAAAAATGACACCCCCCCCTTACTAATAGCTGTTTTTCCGTAGTCTGGAGTTATTATGAGACACATTTTTCTATCGATACTATAAGGTTGCCAATAAATAGAAGATTTTTTAAAAAATTAATTATAATCAGGACAAATTTTTTTAAATTATTTACTTGAGAGTGAGAGCGCATACAAGCACAGTAGGGAGGGGCAGAGGGAGAGAGAGAATGTCAAGCAGACTCCCCATTGAGTGGGGAGCCTGATACTTATAAAGGAAAAAGTCTTATATTTAATTGCTAGCACTTTCTCTGACTGCCTCCCCTAAACTCAAAGATTATGACCTGAGCTGAAACCAAGAGTTAGATGCTTAACTGACTGTGCCATCCATGCGCCCCCGCAAGATGAAATTTTTTTTTTTTAAAGATTTTATTCATTTATTTGACAGAGAGAGACACAGCGAGAGAGGGAACACAAGCAGGGGGAGTGGGAGAGAGAAGCAGGCCTCCCGCGGAGCAGAGACCCCGATGCGGGGCTCGATCCCAGGACCCTGGGACCATGACCTGAGCTGAAGGCAGACGCTTAATGACTGAGCCACCCAGGCACCCCCCAAGACAAAATTTTTAATGGCTTAGTGATTAATGCTTTCCCATATATCAACATTTGGAAGATAACACAAAATCAAAGCAATTATCATTAATTTCTTGCCCTTTTCAGTGCTAGGGAAAAAATAGGACTTGTAGCTCACTGAGTTGGAAACCTGACTTTGTGTATTTATTTAGCAACAGGCTGTATTTCTTGTGCTTGCCTGTGGCTAGGAGGGCTCATGCCCAGGGAAGTGTTGGCAGCATTTACTTTTTAGATGATGATTTTCCTTTTTTACCCTACAAAGTGTCCAAACCCATCTCAGAAAGCAAAAAAATTCCCTGCCACCTGTTTAGGTATTGGTCAGCAGGTGTTTCTCAGCCTTTCTATAGATGTGTTTTTTTCAAGAGAAAAAGACTGTTTGGCACTCCAGATGACAAAGTAATGTCATCTCTACACAAGACCGGACTCCTCTAATAAGACACTGGAGGGGTGCCTGGCTGACTCAGAAGAGCATATGACTCTTGATCTTGAGGTTCGGAGCTTGAGCCCCACGTTGGGTTGAATAGAGATTACTAAAAATAAATAAACTTCAAAAAAATAAAAGACACTGGACATTCTCTTGTCACACCTTAGCATGACTTGAAGGATTTTGTGGAGAATGTGAAAAGATGGATTCACATCCTTGCTTTTCCTCCCAAAACTGGTCTCGGGGTACTGGCCTGTTGTAAGTGGTGGTGCATCTTTGCTGGCTGTGGAGTTTATAAATACTCTGAGAATACTCTGAGAAGTGGTATCACTAATAGAGAAAGCCTTGGCCTCTCTGGCTGAAATAGAAACTGACCCCAACTCCAGCATCCCAGCCACTCTCTCTCCTCCTAGAAGACTAGTTTATAAAATCTTGAGTTCAGAAAATGAGAGAGCAAGGACAAATTCGGGATATAGAAGCAAATTGATTATTATGTACGTACCTTCCATTTCTCTTCAGCATTCACTGATGTATTCAGTAGAATTTATTATGCACCTACTGTGTGCCTAGCCACTCCAGAGAACTGGGAATTCACTGTTGGAATGAGTCAAAATCCTTGGCTACTTCCTGGAGCTTTACTGCCATCAGAGTTCACTGCCATCAGCAATTTCGAGCTTAGTTGCTGGTTGACTTTGAGTTTAGGGGAGGCAGGCAGAGAAAGTGCTAGCAATAAAACGTAAGACTTTTTTCCTTTATATATAAAAAAATGTCAAATGGGCAGGAACTGTTGGCAAAGTGGAGGAGAGAATATTAGTAATGCAAGTTATACAAATGGTTATAACTGTAATCTAGAAGGCGTAGAGAACTTGGGTGAATGAACTATGGCTGGGAGGGGGCACACTTAAAGAGGAGCTTCAGGGAAGTTTTGCACCTATAAACTCTGCCTATAAACACTCCTGGACTTTTCCTTCCCACCAGCCACATAGGGCACTCTTCTTCCTGCATAGTAATGCCACCATCAGACACGGGTACAGCATTTTTAGAAGGATGCTTCATTATCTTTCTTGTGAGATAAACAGGCCAGATCTTAATGATCCTTGCTCTATAGACTAGGAAACTTATCCTTTCTTAAAACAAGTGCATGTCGTTTTGGAAGGGCATAAATGGCAGGACCCCCACTGCTCATCTTGCTTTTCAGAGAGGTCTGTAGGAGTCCATCTGTGTGACACTCCCAAGCTTGACAGCTGCCTGTGGGCACCTGTTTCCTAATCAATACTTGGGGTTCAATCACTTAGAACTGATTGGTGTTACATGCCTTCAGACAACATCAAGGGGAACCTTTTCTCTTACCCAAACTTCTACTGACTTTATCAGCCCTTAATGATTTCCTTGAACTCTGAAGAGTTCACGGTCAATTGATTTAAGTGCCTCATTCCTTGCCACTGTTTGCAAATAGCAATATTTTAAAAGAGGTTGCCCAAGAAATGCTGATTCATCTAGCAGACTTTTAAATATACTGGGTCTTGGAGTCTCAACAAAACAGCAGATGAGAATATGGAGAAATACACTGTCAGTCCATGTGTCTTCAAATTTACGGTTGGCACCGCATGCACCAGGCATGGGGGAGAAACAAGTTAGAATGTACGCGTTTTGGCTCACTAGTATTTTCATACCTTCTTCCAAATTCCTCTGAGCACCATCTGAAGAGAATTAATTTAAAGAACCTTTAAATGTTCCAGGTCTGTGTGAGTCCCACAAAGGCGGAGGTTTACTTTTGGCTGTTTGACTCTTTCCCGCAGCTTTCATTTGGCTCAACAGAGAAAAGTGACTTTTCCAGGGATTCAGAAGAATAAACTGGAATTGTTACAGGGACCCCAGTCTTTGTGGTGGAGATTCAGCAATTTCATAATAGGTAGAATTATGTATTATTGTAGGTATTATTTCATAATAGGTAGAATTATTATTGTATATAAGCCCTGGCCAACAGTTCCTGCCCATTTGTCATGTTTTATATATAAAGGAGAAATTCTTCTATTTTATTGCTAAACTCAAAGTCAACCAGCAACTCAAAGTTGCTGATGGCAGTGAACTCCAAAGTGCCCTTGATAGCGACGCCCAGTAGCTGTTTCCATTCACCTTGCTGAATAAAAGCCAGAGTGCTGGCCTCTCGCTAGGATTTCTGGCAGCACTTGCGTCAGTAATTCATTCCAATAAAATGGTCCCTTTATCCACTGAATCCCCAAAGGCTGTACTAACAAAAAGCCCTTTTCATGAATAGAAGGAGGAGTGGGGAGAACTTTGGAAAACAGTTTTCCAATGTCTTCTAACTTGTGACTGACACCAGAAGTGGTCCCATCTGGTCCTGGCCGGCGGTGGCTCTCCTGGGACAAATGCACCAGGGATTCAGGGTAGTGTCTGCTGCGGGGGCGGGGCGACCACAGCCGGCCACAGACCCCGCCTCTCAAGCCTGGGATAGCCTGAGGAGACAACCGTGCCGCCAACACCTGGGGCATAATAAGCTCCTTGGTTCACAAATCGTAAAAACTCCGAAGGAGAACGTCTTCGTCCTTCTGCCCCTGGAAATACACGATGTAAAAATTGCCCCAGGTAAGCATCGTCTTTCTCTTTCTCAGTGGAATGCGCAAGATTTTTGGTGTAGTCAATCCCGCGGGGTTTCACCTCATAGACTCACGACCCACCGCCCTCCCACTGCTGGGGGCCCTCTGAGGGTTGAAACCATCTGGCCCCACCTGCTGTTTCTATCATCAGTCCTTTCCCTACTCCTAAGATTCCAGGCTCAGGAGTGACAGTGTCTGGATTTGAATCCTGACCTTAGCAAGCTACGTAACCTCCCTAAGCCTCAGTTTCTTTATCTGTGAATGGGTACAATAATAGTACCTACCAATGGTGGGGTTTTTTGTGAAGATTGAATGAGGTGATTCATCTAAGGCGCTGTTGCCTGCCAGAGAGTAAGGACTCAATAACATTCCAGTGTCGCCATTATTTTTATCCCCAACTGTGACAGAGACTGCTAGTGTCCCCTACTGTGCCTTCTCGCCTTCCTTGGTAGGGACTTTTCAATGCACACCTGGGAACACAGCATAAAATATGCATAAAATAAAATATGTCCCAACCTTACGTGGGGCTAGATTTGGCCATGTGACTAAATTCTAGCCAAAGGAATGGGAATGGAAAGGGAATGTGCAATTTCTGGGTTGGACCCTTAAAGGGAAGAGCATGCCATCCCCTTCTCCATTGCTGCTGGTTAAATTGCAGGTTTTAGAAGTGAGTCCAGTGTAGACTGCAGACACAGGGCAACAAAGCAGGGATGGCCCAGCACTAGGACAGAAGACTGGGCCCCTGGCAATTTCGAAGAGCAGGGTTACATAAAGGAGGAGTAAACTCTTGTCTTGTTGAAGCCCCTATTCATTAGGGGGTTCTCACACATGCAAGTCCTAAAGACTTTGCTGCTCAAATTGCAGTGCAGGGAGCTTCTCAGAAACGCAGAATCTCAGATCCTTACCCAGACCGATGGAATCAAAGTCTCTATTGTAACAGAATGATACCCAGGTGATTTATAGGCATGGTAGAACCTGAGAAGCATTGTCCTAAATAGCACACCTAGCAAGAACCAGTCAGCTGGTCACCATCAGGAGCTGGGAAGAGGATGGTGTTGGTGACTGGTGTTTCTACCACCACTGGGTTCTGCCTCTCCCACTGGGCTCTCGATGGGGAGGATTTGGGGTTTTGCTTGTGCTTGTGGCTTGTACCAACTTCCATGCCTCCCTTTTGCTCCTGCGGCAACTATAGCATTCATATCACCATGGCAACCGTAGGAAGGCGGCCTGATAGTCATATTGCTTTTGTTGACCGCTTGAAGAGGTGGTGGGAGTATATATCATTCTCTCAGGAGTCGGAGGTTTCTGAAGGTCCTATAACTGTTCTAATGACATGTACCTGTGCTCAGGCCATAGACATCCTTCCACAAGCCCAGGTAGCTAAACTACCCCATTGCGTTGTTTCACCTTCAGGCTGGGTCTGGTCAGCTGCTTAAAGCTCACTCAACCATGGGATAACCTGCTCATTTGAGCCTTTCCAGAATGTCCCTGGGAAAGTGCCAAATAGCCTGGCATGGAAATTGGCTGGAGTCGTTTCAGGGGAAGACCCACCCAAAGGACTCACCCAGGTGTTAAGCCAAGCTGTGTATATACTGTAAAGAAATCTATGTTTTCAATTTGCCACTGGGAAACTCTAATTTAGTAGTAGCCACATAATTCAGTACTTTGAAACGAAGTACTGCCTGGATGGAAACCTCTTCAAGATGTATCTCCAGGGGTTTAACCCAAATCTTTCCTACGACTTAGGCCTGCCGGCTCTTTCTCTGGCTTGGGTTGTGGTGGAAACAGCTGGTCACCAGCCAGACGACAATCCTGCATCCTTCATCATCTTGAAGATGGTGATTAAATCACTCATCATCTCCTCTTCACCAGGATATTGTGAGGATTATGTCAGCACGGTGCCCAGAGCTCCCTGGAGATAAACGGTGAGCAAACACAGTTTGCTATTAATTTATCATCACGCTAGGCAGAAAATTCAGTCCAAGTCAGCATTTTCATTCCTGTCTGAGAAGTAGCCGATGCATATTCAAGATTACACCTTCCACTTAGCAGTTCTAAGTAACCGTTGTTATTTAGGGGATTATGTGTCTCAGGTTTCTATTTCTGAAGGTGGAAGAAGACCTTTGGGCGTGGATTGGACAATATAAGTAGCAATAATAGCTCGGACTGTATACTAGATGGGCACTTGACTTTGACTTACTTGTCACAGCAAACCTGGGAGGTGTGGATTATCCCCATTTGACAGATGAGGAAACTGTGAGGTTAGACAGCCTGCCCCGGGTCACTTAGCCAGCAGGAGACCCGGGTACTGTTAAATCAGATAATGTGCATACCTTTATCTCATTCGATCCTCACCAGACCACTAAGAGAAAGGCATTATCCCCATTGAAGCGACGAACAAACAGACTCGGACAGTCTAACCCGTCTCTGGTTCCACATTGTAAGCAGCAGACACCAGCCTCAAACTCAGGCGTGCCCACAACCAGAGCTATGCTCTCCCACCAGAGCACATGTCTGGTGCTCTGTCAGCAACTCAGAAACAGGTTGTGAAAGCTCCGTTGACATCTGGTTATGTAAATCTGCCCCAAGCTAAGGTTTTCCTTCATTCTTTAGTAATAGGGGTTTTTGATGTGTCTCAGCATCTGTGCTTAGCGTTACGACTTGTTTCCTCTATTGGGCCGTCTGACAGTCATGAAAGGGCAATCCACCCAAGGTAATGTAACTGTTTCCCCTCACTAAATGTTCAAGGCATGACCGTCTTCACTCATGGTCATTTACTCAGAAATGAGAAAACTGTCTTTAACTATTTGATGCATAGTAAATGTGGTGAAGAGTGACATTCAACAGGTCCAGAAAGGTGGGTGCAGGAAAACACCGTAACATTTTGCTGGGCAGATGTGACTTTTCTTTCCAGCATGGCATTTCAAGACAGATTCTCAAGCTGTTACCGACCCAGGCAGCACTCGCCGCCTGCATCTCCTGACCTTTATTTTTTACTGGATCTCTTTCTTCTTCTGTTGATGGTCACTGTATTCCACCATCTGGGCTAGGACAAGAATCAGATATTTGTGGTCCCTGGGGAGAAAGAACCAGTTTTACTGGAAGAAATGGCTTAGAAGAAAGAAAGAATGTATCAAGTTGAGGAAACTAACATTCCCACCCCTGCTGGTACCCCTGTAACCCGTCCCCCCCGCCCCTTAGATTTACATTTCAAAGCCTCCAGGCTGTTGTTTTCCCTTGGCCTTTCTTATCCTTTGTAATTGTCCCTAATCCATTGTAATTTATTCTAATATTTTACCTAACGTGAGCCCAGTTTGCCGGGAGTACATTTTAACCAAAACATGAATTGTCATTTGAAAAACACATGTGTGTTCTGTATCTTTGACCCCTTGTAAAAGTGAGTAGAGCTCTAACAGGATGAAACAGCTAATATGCAGACAAATATAAGCAAGAAGAATCTTCTCGTTCACCAGGACTAAAATTAGAAGTCAGTGGTGACCAAGAAAGTATGCAGATGGAGCAATCAGAAGGAGCTCAGAGGAGGCCTGGAAAAAGGTGGGGATGTTTTAAAATATTGTAAACAGTTATTCTATTATTTACAGAATAAAATTAGCCCGATGACACATTCTAAGTATGGCCTCAGTTCCTCCAGCAGCCAGAGCTAAAGACATGGGAAATAACACGTGTGCTCAGTGACGGTGAATCAGGCCCCGTGCATTTGCTTTGGGGAAGATTGCAAGAGGTAGTCTGTTAACTACTCATACTGAGTCCTTAGGTGCTAGAACTTACTTTCCTAACTGTATGAAATTAAATTAATTTTTGGCCTCGGGCTTAATTCCCTGTTTATAAATAGAGGCTACTGCCAACAGTTCAACCACTTGCTCTTTGACACTGAGACTAAGAAGCTGCAGAGTGTGGTGGTGAGAGCTCCAGCTACTGGAACTGCCTTGGAGGCAAGTTACTTCACATGGGTGTGCTTTTGCCTCCTCATCTGTGAAATGGGGTAAATGATAGTGTTCATCTCATGGCATTGTGTGGATTCAGTGAGTTAACACATATGAAGCACTTACGACGGACTTAGGACGGTATCTTGCATATTGAGTGCTTAATACATTTTAATGGTTTTCATTAATGAAGTTTCTAAAATATTTGGAGGATATGTCCATAAGCAAAAAAAAAAAAAAAAAAATCTGGAAAATAAAGCTATTCAAATGTAGTATTATGCTAGAGCTAAGGAAATGGACACTGCCCAAGTAGGAACAGATTGTGCTTTTCTCTCCTTTCAAAAGTCAGCAAAGGCAAGTCATTGGGGACTTAATGTCTCACAAGCAGCCTTTCACACATTCATTAACTTCTTTATTTTGCTCAGCAAATCAGAGTAACCAGACTATGTATTATTAGGAACCCTCTTTGGTTGGTTATGAATGTTTCTAAGTAGTTCTCTAAACTTGGGTCAGACCCAATGACCCATCTGGCCAAAGGCCTGAAGACAGATTTCTGAAGAATAGCTGCAAGAACTGTGTCTTGGGCTAATTTATTGGGTCCTCAATAAGGAATGTTGACTATTTTAATTGCATAAAGGATAAGGAATTGGTTGCTGATATAGGGGAGGACAAAAAATTGTTTTCTGTCTACCCATCTTAGGTTCATTGAGCTGGCCCTGGAAGTTGGACTGACAAAAGACATTATTAACAAAAGGAAGTCAAACATGTTTATTAACAAGCACATCATGCATATATACAGGAGCACCCAGAGATGAGTAACTCAAAGGGAATTGGGTAGATAGAATTGGGTTGGTATTGCATTGTTTAAAAATTCCTGTGTAATTAACATACGGTGTCAGATTAGTTTCAGGTGTACAATAGTGATTCAACAATTCCATACATTACTCAGTACTCATCATGATATGTGTACTCTTAATCCCCTTCATGTATTTCAACCATACACCCTACCTCCTGTCTGGTAACCACCAGTTTGTTCTCTATATTTTAGTCTGGTTTTGTTGTTGTTGTTGTTGATTTCTCTCTCTCTCTTTTTTTGAAGATTTATTTGTTTATTTGAGAGAGAGAGAGCATGTGAGCGGGGTGGGGGACAGAGGGAGAAGGAGAGAATCTCAAGCACACTTCCTGCTGAGCAGGGAGCCCAACTCAGGGCTCAATCCCATGACCTCGAGATCATGACCTGAGCCGAAACCAGGAGTCAGATGCTCAACCGACTGAGCCGCCCAGGGGCCCCATCTCGCTCTCTTTTTTTTAAAGTAAGCTATACACCAAGTGTGGGGCTTGAACTCATGATCCCAAGATCAAGAGTCGCATGCTCTACAGACTGAGCCAGCCAGCCACCCCCTTGTTTCTCTTTTGTTCATTTGTTTTGTTTCCTAAATTCCACATATGGCTAAAATCACATGGTATTTATCTTTCTCTGACTGACTTATTTCACTTAGCATTATACCCTCTAGGTCCATCCATGTTGTTGCAAATGGCAAGAGTTCACTCTTTTTTATGGCTGAGTAATATTCCATTGTATATGTATACCATATCTTCTTTATCAATTCATCTATTGATGGACACTTGAGTTGCTTCCATAATTTGGCAATTGTAAATAATGCTGCCATAAAAATAGGGATGCATATATCTTTCCAAATTAGTGTTCTCATATTCTTTGGGTAAATACCCAGCAGTGGAATTACTGATCATATGGTAACTCTATTTTTAATTCTTTGAGAAACCTCCATACTGTTTTTCATAGTGGCTGTACCAGTTTGCATTCCCACCAACAGTGCACAAGGGTTCCTTTTTCTCCCATATCCTCTCCAATACTTATCATTTCTTGAGTGTTTGATTTTAGCCATTCTGACAGGTGTGAGGTATTATCTCATTGTGGTTTTGATTTGCATTTCCCTGCTGATGAGTGATATAGAGCGTCTTTTCATGTGTCTATTGGCCATCTATGTGTCTTTAGAGAGACGTCTGCTCGTGTCTTCTGCCCATTTTTTAATTATATTATTTGGGTTTCTTGGTGTGAGTTATATAAGTTCTTTATATATTTTGGGTATTAACCCTTTTATCAGATATGTCATTTGCAAATGTCCTCTCCCATACAGTATGTTGTCTTTTTGTTTTGCTTATTGTATAGCATTTTAACAACAGAACAATACATTTTTAGTGAAGTGTCAAAGAAACAAAAGGACTTTGACCTTCTCGGGGTGGCAAATTGTGGAAAGGCAAATATATGGGGAAATTAATGGTAGATAAGGGGTAGTTTTAGCGAAGATTGTTTTGTAGATTTCTCTGATGCTATCTCTGAGCTGATAAGAGTCTAGAGTTGTCTCCAGTGATTAACTTCTACCCTTCCTGGTAGAGAGAAGAGACAGGGTACCTTTCCAAATTTACATCCTACTTTTAGGCAAATAGGCGTGGGCAGAAAGCTTTTTTTTAATCTGCTTCTTCTCAATTGCCTTCAGCTCAAAATAATCCTTATGCCAAAGTGGCATATTTTGGGATGGCATATTCTGGTCCCCACCCTTCGCTGGTCTGATCAGTATTTTGTATTTCTTTTTCATTAACTTGAAACTTGCACTAAGACTGGTCATTGGGACTGAACATGTTCAAATTTTTCTAATCTGTTCCAGAAGATAAAAAATTATCTCTATGATCAGAAATAATTGGTCATTGCTTCCTTCAAAGAATTTTTATAAAATACCTGATCCATGAAATGCCAAATTTACAGAACAGATGACTAAGGGGGTGATCATTCACAAAACACAAAGAATCTTTCCTTCTGTTCAGCAGAATTAGCTCCTCTGGAACTCAGAAAAAGAAGTGGGTTATTTGTAATGTTTAGGAAATGCATCTGTTGCTTATAGCAAAGCACATTTGCACTTTAAACAGAATGCTCATTTAAAAAGTACTCTCTGTCCAGGCTTTCATTAAGCATCTTTATCTATTCATCTATCCCTCTGCCAGCCAAAGAAGAAAAAAAAGTGAATGGAGGTCTTGCAAGATAACACAACTCATACAGTCTTTCCATTGCACTTTTAACTCTGCCAGTCCCAGTCCACACTTAGATACAAACAATGGTGCGATGTAAAGTGTTTTCTGAGAACCTGTGAGATCTCAACCTTACTCAAAGGTTCAGCTCAGTTTGTTAGATTTTTCAAACTAGACACAGGGCTTAAGCCTTCATTTTATTATGTCAATGATCCACCCTCCACTATGCCCACTCTGATTTAAAGATCCCCTTTAGAATTCAGTTGTACTAACAAAGAAGAGGGTTAAGAATGGGAGAGTGGGGTGCAGAATAACTGCTCAGGTCAGTTCATTCATTTCTTCAAGAAATCATCTAGCTCTTACCCTATAGAAGTGGGGCAGTGTGCTAAGTGCTGGGGTAAATCAGATGAACTTGATTCCTATCAAGAAAGAATTCAGTCCATGCTTTAGTCTCTGTTCTTGCCCCACCCTCTGCTCCCTGCCCCCATCTTTTGCCCTGCACCATTCCAGAGAGGTGCAGTTCCCAGCGGGAGAACAGTCAGAGAAGAGGACAAGTCCTCAAAGAATCCAAAGCCAGTGGCCTGACGAGACATCAGCTGCAATCTACCCCACCCCACCACCACCCTTCTATTCCTCTCTGCCTCTCCTTGCTTTCCTCTGTACTCACATGTTGGCATTAAAGGACACAGCTTGTACTTGTTAGCTCGTTCTCATGGAGCCTTCTAAATGGTCTGGTGTCTTTTTTTTTTTTTTTTTCTGATTACAAAAGTAACACATGTTCATTGTTACATAAAAGTCAAATATTACAAAAATGCATGTCCTTTGAAAATATGTCACTCCATCCCTCCAAACTCTGCAGACTTTCCTCTTAACTTCAAGTAAAAGACAAAGCCTATCAAGGGCCTACTGATTTGCACAACCTTCCCTCTCTGGCCCCGGCGCGTCTCCAGTTCGGGCCCTATTTCCTATGCTCCAGCGTGACAGCATTCAGCTTGCCTGCATTTCAGCACCTTTATGCTAGCTGTTGCCTGTTTGGAATGTTCTCCCCAGATATCTGCGTGCCTTCTGTCTTAGTCAGCTTGGGCTGCCATACAAAATACCATAGCCTGGGTGACTTAAACAGCAGAAATGCATTTTCTCACAGCTCCGGAGGATCTCAGTGCGAGATCAAAGTTCTAGCCAATTTGGTTTCCAGTGAGAACTCTCTTCCTGGCCTGCAGACAGCCGCCTTCTTGCCGTGTCCTCGCATGGCCTTCCCTTGGTACGTGCTCACCACACCAGTGAGCCTCAGTGACTTCCTTAGAGGCACCATCTGCAAACACAGCCACAGTGGAGGTTAGGGCTTCACCATAGGAGTCTGGGGAAGACACAAACAGCCATCTGTAACAGCCTCCTGCTTCTACTCTTGTTTATGCATCACCTTCTCAGAGAGGCCTTCTCTGCCCCCCTGTATTATTTCTCACAATTCTGTGGGTCAGCTGGGTTCGCTGGGGTCATCGAAGAGCTGCCGTCATCTAGCTGAGCCCAAGGGGTGTGCCGTTGCGTTCCCCTCCTGCCCGGGCCCCA